GTAAAAGGTGCAATTGTTGTAATTGATTCGTATTTGGAAACGCAAGAGGGAACACCCATAATCACTCTCGTGGTTTTCTCCTTATTTCAGGGGTGTAACACATGCGCGCAGGTTTGCATTACATCATTAACAGCTGAGCATTACATAAGCGTCACTTTTTGGCAGAGCGTTACAACTCGGCAGAACACCGGCCAACATCCTCTAAGTGCGCCTGGGTAAATTGTAAAGAGGAAGAATTACTTTGATAAATACACTCTATAGCTTACATAGCTATAGCTATAGCTCACTTCTATAGCCATAAATCTTTTTATTTATCTAATTTATGCCCTGACAAAGACCGCTGTTGGTCGAAACGCGTAGGCAGTCCAATTCATTAAAGGACTTTTAATTTTTTCACCAAAACAGAGTGCCTCAGACTACCTTTGTTCTCTTCAAACATTATACTTGATTGATCAATAATCACAAGACAGGTCATAATCATAGACACAGCCATAAGGTGATTCCAAAACACGGACGTGTGTTTTTGTCATGGGTCAACATGCTGTGTTACATTACATTGGAGTTCATCATCGTGGCACAATATAAAAAAACAATCAAAACAAGTTTATAAAAGAAAGAGCAGTGAGTTCCCAAACTCTGACAGTGAGAGCTTTAAATTACCACTGTATTTCGTTTGGTGTATTTGAAGTGTTGACACTCACTCTTACAAAACAGGTTAAATATGTGAGGAATAGGACGACCCTGAGTTTTTGAGAGAATGGGGGAGAAAAATATCAAGAATGGTACCTGGCAATCTAGAAAGAGTTCTTCCTCATTTTCACCGAGGTAGAGCATTAAACCACGAATCACATTGTCACGTCTCATCTCAATTGTTTGGTTCTGTAAATAGCACCAAAACAGGGATTTATCAATGGGAAAGAACAAATTATGTATTGTACTCAGCATAAGTTATGACTAAACATACCTGTATCTGTTTGTTCAAAACAGGTTTCAGTTTTGCCCCGATAGCACCACCCTTCTTCGCAAACACAGAAAGTAAATTTGGAGTGTATTTGTCCAGATTGAACATGAAGGTCTGCTCAAGAGGAATGGTGGTGATTCTCCAACTTTGCATTGCCATCTCTTTTGAGATGAGATGGCAATGCAAACTTTGCATTGCCATCTCATCTAAAAAGCCTACTGTCTCTAATCTTTCTCCTTCTTTGAGTCTTGATTATTGGTCCCCTGCAAGACAAAAATATGGATTCAATGTTGTATACAGTTAGTAAACTATAAATCAAATGTATAGTTACATTTTTACCTGATTGAAGCTACCAAAGTAGAAGTGGTGGGTATAAGATCTGGTGTCAATATCAGCACTTCTCTCCTGAATCTGAAAGAAAATTGTAAAATATACTTTAACATTACAGTATAATATATAAATAATGTAATATTTATAAATTGTCAAATATACTGTAACATTACATTACTTGTGATTAATTTCACAATGTTCACATAATTATTATTTAATTGTCTAAATTCACAAATAATTCATACAATTTTAGTTGCACGGGGGGAACATAAATGCTTTGGGATATATTTTCAGTCTCCAAACGAAAAAAACGGAAAGACGTATCTACTTGTTAAGCAATAATAACTAAGTATCAGCCATGTTTAGTGGAGTGCATAGCGATATAAGAAAGACAGTCATGAAAGTAATGAAAACTGGCCTCAGAAGAAGCTACGCTACAACATTAACTACGCTATGAATCAAATCACGCGCAGCGTCGTTTGTACATACCGAAGCACGCAGTCCTCTGTACACAGCCCAGATTTACGTTTGAGAAACGAGACCAAACTCTTTGCTAAATAAAGCACAGGCATGCCTGTGCTTGTTGTTGTTTGAGGAGGACACGTGACAAAGCAAAAGCATGATGGGAACTGTAGTATTTGACGCGATTGTTTCAACACAAGTTTCCGAGCTGTATTATACTTATTTGCTTACATTGCGTAGCCTTGTGTTACTTCCAAGGAAAATGAGAAAATAAATTATTTAGTTCTTTTCAAATGGTTAACTTGTTTAACTAAGCTAGCAAACACCATGTGCCTTATTTCCCGCGGATGGAAATTAGTCCGATTAACGCTAAACTAATATTCAATTGAGTTTTAAACCAGCGTTAGATAACATAGCATAGGCTATGCCTTGTTTCATGTGACGAAAAGTTGAATATCTCTCAGTTCCATTTTGACGCAGGAGAAAAAATACCTAGCATCTAAAAATATAATGTTAGCCGACGCTGATGTGACGCAATGACGACATGTGTACAATGCAACACAACCCAAAGACAATAATGAATATACTGTCACATGAAAAACAATTGAAAAGTTACTTACATTAAACTTCACGTTCCACTTCGTGTTCGTTCGAGTCTGCTGGGAGCATGGATCAATGACAGATTGTCATTGTGTGCGGGGCAGAAACTCGCCAATGTAACCCTGCTCACAAGTGCCACCTGGTGGTTGTTTTGGTCATTGCAGCATCACTGGGAGGGGGGAAAATAAAAGACGCGTGAATCACACGAGACTCACGTGTGATTCACGCGTGAAAGGCGACAAAACGGAATGGGACCTACTGTACGTAGAAAAGTGTGTATGGCTGTTGGATGTGTGTGTGTGTGTGTGCCTGTAGGAAGTGTGTGTGTGTGTCAGTTTATGGTGGTTGTATTGCGTTGTCTACGTAGAAAAGTGTGTATGGCTGTTGGGTGTGTGTGTGTGTGAGCGTGTATGTGCCTGCAGGAAGTGTGTGTGTGTGTGCCTGTAGGAAATGTGTGTGTGTGTAGTTTATGGTGGTTGGGTTGCGTTGTCTGCGTAGAAAAGTGTGTATGGCTGTTGGATGTGTGTGTGTGTGTGAGTGTGTATGTGCCTGCAGGAAGTGTGTGTGTGTGTGCCTGTAGGAAATGTGTGTGTGTGTCAGTTTATGGTGGTTGGGTTGCGTTGTCTTCGTAGAAAAGTGTGTATGGCTGTTGGATGTGTGTGTGTGTGTGCCTGTAGGAAGTGTGTGTCAGTTTACGGTGTGTGTGTGTTTGTGTGTGTGTTTGTGTACACAGGTGCAGACAGGTCCTCGTACACAGGTGTGGTGAGAACAGAAGGATCCAAAATGCAGAACTTTCAAAAATAGAAGATTTTATATAAAAAATCAGAAATAACTAAATCTGGGGTTACAGAAATCCAAGCACAGGGTTAGAATACACACAGGGACACACAAAAAGAGGAGCACAGGGTTAGAATACACACAGGGACACACAAAAAGAGGAGCACAGGGTTAGAACACACACAGGGACACACAAAAAGAGGAGCACATGGTTTAAATACACACAGGGACACACACAGAGGAGCACAGGGTTAGAACACACACAGGGACACACAAAAAGAGGAGCACATGGTTTAAATACACACAGGGACACACACAGAGGAGCACAGGGACAAACATTAGGGCGGGGCAGACATGACCGTGACATTGAGATGGAAACATCGGACCATGTTGTTGCTGAAAAGAGAAGAAGTGTATGAAAAGCAGAAGTGAATGAAAAGCAGAAGTGAGTGAAAAGCGTCTGAAGAGACTGAGCTGAAGATGTTTATCGGAGCTGCTTCTGCTTTTCATGATTCATTTATCTCTGAAAAAGAACCATTCTGTCGACTGCAGACGAGAAACCATTATAAAACTGTAAAAACACAGATGTGGATCCACTCTCTTTCGTGCACGCACACTCTTGCACTTACACGCGCACACACATGCACGCACAAACACACACACACTCATACATACACACCATGGATCTGGAACTGGATAGGGTATTACTAGCTTACAGCTGTCCCACCCATGGGCACAGGGGGCGCTGTGGTACTGCAGACTACATTCACGTTGGCTTTACTCAATGTAAACTAAAACAGCTCGACCTCAGCTGACAGAGAACCTGACAGAGAACCTACAGCTTTCACATATATCGGAATTTGTGAGGATTTTAGTGTCCCTTGTCATCCTGAACTTTTTTTCTTCTTAAATCCTTCGGTTTTCTTTAAATCCACACATTACTGCCACAAACTCTGCTCCCTGCCTTCCCGCTCTGACTCCGCTCTGCTGCTGCTCTGATGAGCAGCTCTGATTGGTCAGAGCGCAGCCGAGCCCCTCTGTGCACGTGCACGAGACCCACACACACGTATTTGGCCCAAAGCCTCATGGGAGCTTGTCCACTGCGCAGAACCGGGAGGACCAGACGATGCCCAAATACAGCCGAGTTCTGCTAATCTGAAGTCCCATGCGCTACTGAGCACAAACCATTCATTTGAATAGGGCGCCCTCTTGGATCACCGGGGCTTGATACACACATGCACACTAGCACAAACACACAGTCATCCATCCATTTTCTTCCGCTTTATCCGTTGCCGGGTCGCGGGGGCAGCAGTCTAAGCAGAGACGCCCAGACTTCCCTATCCACACACACTTCCTCCAGCTCGTCCGGGGGGACCCCAAAGCGTTCCCAGGCCAGCTGAGAGACATAGTCTCTCCAGCGTGTCCTGGGTCTTCCCCGGGGCCTCCTCCCGGTGGGACGTGCCCGGAACACCTCCCCAGGGAGGCGTCCAGGAGGCATTAGGAACAGATGCACGAGCCACCTCAACTGGTTCCTCTTGACGTGAAGGAGCAGCGGCTCTACTCCGAGCTCCTCCCGTGTGACTGAGCTCCTCACCCTATCTCTAAGGGAGCGCCCAGCCACTCTGCGGAGGAAGCTCATTTCGACCGCTTGTATCCGCGATCTCGTTCTTTCGGTCATTACCCAAAGCTCATGACCATAGGTGAGGGAGGGAACGAAGATTGACCGGTAAAGAGGGAGCTGAGCCGAAAGGCAAAGCTCTCGATCCGATACAGCGACCGCATCACTGCGCACGCTGCACCGATCCGCCTGTCAATCTCACGCTCCATTCTCCCCTCACTCGTGAACAAGACCCCGAGATACTTCAACTCCTCCACTTGAGGAAGGACCTCTCCACCTGGAGAGGACCAGGACCTGGAGAGGGCACGGCACTTTTTTCCGCTTGAGCACCACCTCGGATCCCCTCCTCAATCGCCCCGTTCATGACGGGGCGATTGAGGAGAACCTGAAAGTATTCCTTCCACCGTCCAACAATATCCCCAGTCGAGGTCAGCAGCTCTCCACCCGCACCATACACGGTGTTGGCAAAGAACTGCTTCCCCCTCCGGACGGTTTGCCAGAATCTCCTCGAGGCCGACCGATAGTCATGCTCCATGGACTCTCCGAACTCCTCCCAGTACCGGGTTTTTGCCTCTGCAACAGCCCGGGCCGCGGCACGCTTGGCCTGCCGGTACTGGACAGCTGCCTCAGGAGTCCCACGAACCATCATGGCTTGATAGGCCTTCTTCAGCCTGACGGCATCCCTTACTGCCGTTGTCCACCACCGGGTTTGGGGGTTTCCGCATTCACTCACACAAACACAAAAAAGCAGGAAACATGAGGTCATCAAATCACACCTGGATCTGTTCAATGACATCGCTCCACAGCAGTAGCTGCTCTTCCACATTAAGGCTAACGCTACACAGACACACACTCACCTTAAGTACACAAACACACACTCACCTGAAGCACACACACACACACTCATCTGAAGCACACACACACTCACTCATCTGAAGCACACACACACACACACACTCACCTGAAGCACACACACACACACTCATCTGAAGCACACACACACACACACTCACCTGAAGCACACACACAAACTCACCTGAAGCACACAGACACACACACACTTTCTGCAGATTATCCGTGTGCTAATGATCACACACCTCCTGCTGTTGTCGCAGGTGAGGAGTCAGACCTGGCAACCCGTCCCCCGGAGCCTCGCCGAGCTGCAGTTAAGCGCAGACAGATGAGTTGCCAGGTCCTGAGGGACAGAAACTGCGCATGGGCTTGTACAGTTTTAATGAATTGGTGTGAGCGCTAATTGGCAACAGTGATCGTCATAGGAACGCACTGGTGTCACCCAAGGGCCACACAACCAGGGGCCTCCTCTGGGACTCACAGGAGCTAAACGAGAGAGAGAGTTATTGATTATTTCAAAGATTCTCTGGCAGAAAGAAAAGTGTATATATGTTTTATTGTGTGCGTTACTATTGCAATGAGTATTTATTCACAGATGGTTTCATGATGGGAGACCTCTGGGAACACCAGGTGCCACAGTGGGGCTGAAAAGTGCCAAACTAATAACAAATAATACGATATAAATCTGTTTTGTACAGCGTTTTTTAAGACACTCAGAGACGCTTCACATGTCATTATACTTTCACTCCAAACATGGTGGTGATAAACTACTACTCTAGCCACAGCTGCCCTGGGGCACACTGACAGAGGCGAGGCAACCAGTCTGTGCCAACGGCCCCTCCCACCACCACCAACCATTCACACACACACCAGACTCATTCTAATGTGGGGGAAGTGTTTTGCCTAAGGAGTTTACAGCCGCAGCCGCCCTACAGTGGCACCTGGTGTACCCAGAGGTCTCCCATCACCGTACTAACCAAACCCCTGCCCTGCTTAGCTTCAGAGGTTTGACAGGATCTGGCTTTTAGCAGTTTATCACCACCGTGTATGGAGTTAAAGAATACTGACATGTGAGGCGTCTTTGAGAGTCCTGAAAAGCGCTGTATAAAACTGATGCATTATTATTATTATCATGACAGCGGTCCATAACTGTGGTTTGAAAGTTACGTACCCCAGCTTTAACCGAACACTCTCAGTCTGGTGTGTAGCTGTGGATCTGTCGCAGCAGACGATGTTATTGGAACGTGTTTAACGATGGGAGTTTGACCATATTGTTGAGTCCAGGAGGAATTCCAATCAAACCAAACACAACAGACCCGCAACGTCCGGTGGGACTTTTATTGACAAACGGCGCCGACAGTGTTGTGACGGCGGCCATCTTGCCGTCTGCTGTTGTTTGCGACGAGTGGAACGTGGCGTGCGCGGATGTGATGGATGTCGGAGGTCGTCCAGCGGCGGGTACACACATCTGCTTTGTCTGGATGAGCTGTGTCCCTGAAGCATCAAAAAAAACATTCACTCGATTCTGAAACTTTGAAATGAAGTCTGTTGAATCGTCCATGGGTTAAGGTTTAGACTCCTGTGTTTGTACCACAGCGGGAAATTTCAGTGTTGCATTGTCAATTACAGAATAGTAGGAATGAGGAGCACACAGCACAAGATCCATAAAGTATAACTGTAGCATTAAAGGAGCTATATACAGTACGTTTCTGCAGGATTATTTCAGTTTGAATGTTTAGCACCGCCCTCAACTCGCTCACAGGCTTCTCATTTCCCCTACGCTCTCCTCCCACGGAGCCATCTAGTTTTATTTGTGATCTATATGCTAACATTTGCATGAGCGCAACTTCTTGTAACCTGTACAACAATCACTGATGAAATGGTACTAAAGCAACGCACTGCTAACACAATATATAACTGAAAGATTACGGCTAGTTTCACGTCTGAATGTAGTCCGAGCGTAGATAGTCCGAGCGTAGATGGTCCGAGCGTAGATAGTCCGAGCGTAGATAGTCCGAACGTAGATAGTCCGAGCGTAGATAGTCCGAGCGTAGATAGTCCGAGCACAGATAGTCCGAGCGTAGATAGTCCGAGGCGGTCCCGCAGGTCTCTCCCATAGACTAGTCTCTCCAGAGGATACGATGTAAGCTAGCTCTGTTCAGGGCTTGGTTTCTTCTTTGATCATGTTGTGGCTTTAGTTCCTCTTCTCTTCCTCACTGTTGTGTGGTTTGGGCTGTTTTCTGTGTCTGCAGTTACAGCCAGAGGAGTTATAGCCACTTATGCTAACATGCTTTTCAATGGCAACAAGCTGTGTTTTGTTTTCTTATTTTCTCTTCTCCTACACACAGTCTGGGTTGTACCATGTGTAAACTCTGGTCCATGATTATTTCCTACATGTACGTCTGGGTCTGATCCTAGTGGCTACAGTTTCTCGGTTGAATCTCCTCCGACCAATCAGAGAGCGGGGGAGGCGGGTGTTGTAGGTCAGATTAATTTGCTGGTTGTAGTTTGGCGGAGAATGCGATAGTAAAATAATCCGTTCTGGGGTTTTTTCCCACTTGTCCCTGTGTGTATTTTTTCCCAATGCTTTTCCCACTTGTTGTCCGTCTATTTTCTAAACCGCTTGTTTTCAGTTCTGCGGACTCATTTCACCCCGTTACACATGAGTTTGTCCTGTGCCTCATTTGACTGCAGGTTTGTTTTGTTTTTGTCATTATCCAAAATAAACATTTACATTTGGCTAAATACTTTCCTAAATAACATCTGCTGGTTTAATTTGTGATCATCTCAAACATCCTCCATTTTGTTTTTGTTTGATTTAGCTGAATTAAGGTATAAAAAAAAGAGGAAAAATAAAATCGTTGAAGGTGTTGAAGGGACATTTAATCCTCTGACAATCTTACATGAGAATAGGGAGCCTCAACCTCTCTGTCAGTCTACCATCACGGTACTAACCAGCTCCTGCACCGCTTAGCCTCTGGGATCAGGTTTTGAGGGATGCGTAGTGTTGGCTTCTCTCTGACTGAGAACTGTCCGTGGTGCTGAAGCAGGACTCAGTGCAAACGTGTGGTGTGTTTCATCCAATCAGCACACGAGACACATCTGGGAGTGGTGGAGTGGTTAGCCTTTTCCCAGAACAGATTTCACAGTAAATGTTCCTGTGATCTGGTCTTCAGAGCTTCAGTTACATACATGTTACAGACGATCAGTAATAACTGCTGAAAAGAATGTGAGTTTTAATAAAAGTGAATCTGGCAACGTTAGCGCCGAAGAAGAGATAAATACATCTATAATAGACAGAAAAGTGAGAAGAAAACATTAGATTTTTCGTTTGGACTCAGACCCAGAACAGATGCTCAGTAATCCTGCACCAAGCCTTCATCCGCAGATGTGTCATTATGAAGCAGAAGGTTTTACATTGTTTTCAGAAAGTGTTGTCAATAAAGTTTGTTCCATCAGCGGGTTGGAGTCACCTGCTCATTTGGACATTTATTCATTTTTTAGAAATCATTTCACCGTCAAAAACATTAAACGCAGCCTTCACGTCTGTGGAAAACACAGTGTGTCGCTCACAGATGTGAATGTTTTGGCCGGAGGCAAAAGACAAAGTGTCGTCTTTAATGTTTGTCCGTTTTGTGAAAGTCTCTGCCTAACATTTAAAACTTAACATTAAATATTCAGGCTCTAAAAACCACGTTCTTCCCCATTTACAGCACCTTACCTTCACTGCTCATCTCTATTCTACCTGGTTGTGTTTCCTTTGGTACCATATCCTAGCAACCTACCAACAACAAGTCAGTCTCCAGGGAATTTCCTTGGTCACCATGGCTTCTGTCTTGATATGCATTCAGTGTCATGCATTTTACCAGCCTGATGGTGTCCCTAGTGAGTCAAGTCAGTGGATGTCAGTCAGAGAGCACAAAGTAAGAGAGCACTTCCTGTGATAACAGATGTTTTGTTGGACATGCAATTAAAGCTGAGTGCCACTCCCGTATTCGTCCCGGAAACCGGATTCGTCCGGAAGTTCAGTTTGATCCAATGAGCAAACGCAGCAGTAGATTACGTCACGGAATCTGGACGGAAGCGGCAGTAAATATAAAAAACTACCTATTCATGCCTAAACTTAACCAGCCATTCCCATAAAATAACCCAAACCCAGCCTTAACCCTAAACTTAACCATCGTAATCAGACGCCTAAACTTAACCAGTCACCACTTAAGGACATATTAAACTTTTTGACATGCGCAAACTGAACTTCCGGACGAATCCGGTTTCCGGGACGAATACGGGAGTGACACTGAGCACAAGCTCATCTGTTATCACAGGAAGTGCTCTCTTACTTTGTGCTCTCTGACTGACATCCACTGACTTGACTCACTAGGGACACCATCAGGCTGGTAAACTGAATGCACACTGAATGCATATCAAGACAGCTTCCACCTGCACTCCGGTCAATCACCAGCATTTGAAACAAAGCGGATCTAAAGATGTGACAAAGGTCCAAAACACATTCATGAAACGGCTCCAGAGCCAGACACATTAGCTCCTGTTTAATTATATAGCACCTCTCACAGACCAGAGTCACTAAGCACTTTACTATTGTTGTGGGCATTTGTCTGTCACTCCACAGAGATAGAAGCGAGGTCATCATACAGGAGGTGCATGCTGGACCTATTGTACATGTATGTTTTTAGAGGTAGGGGAAACCGGAGCACCTGGAGGAAACTTACTCACACACAAACTCCACTCGGGAAGGCCCTGTTCCGAACGGGATTTGAAGCCACCGTGACGCCCAGTGCTTTGAAAATGAGCTTTAACAAATTCAATGTAAGTTTGTATAGACCTGGCCTGGCCTTATCCATCCGTACACTCCGCTCAATTATCATTTCACTGCATGTAACGTCTGGGTCTGGTTCCTGGGTTAGTGATTACAATCGGTTGAATATCGACCGACCAATCAGAGAGCGCGGAAGGAGAGTGTAGTTAGATGTGACGTCAAGAGTTTGCGTCGAACGGGGAGGTTGTAGTTTGGCAATGGCAAAAAATGCGATAGTAAAGTATTGCGGTCTGGTTCTATCAAGAAATTGAAGCTGGAGCAAGAGGAATGTTTGCAAATGTAATCGCTAGAAAAAAATGTGGCGCTACTCCCCACGGGGTCAGTTAGCAGCAAAGGAGATGGCTAGACTAAATGCTAAATGCTAACGACTCAGGGCGCACCACAAACTCAGATCCAATCGTTTCAATCTGCAAAAGGAGTTAGCCCCTCCCACCTGTTAACGGAGTCAATGGAGCACCTCCAGACCTTAGTATGAAATGTAATTTGTATGGTATGGTGTGGTACGACTGGGCTAGTATAGACCTAAATCACTACAGTTTGGCTCCAAGGACTTTATAAAACTGCCGATTTCCCCAACACAGATCAGAAAATCAAACTGCACAGACACAGGAATTACAATGATAAAAAACACTTCGGGATCCGTTCGGGGCAGAGACCAATGTACAGTATATAAATATTGATAAAGTCCATAAAAAGCCTTTCTGTGATACATCCACATCAGTGTCCCCCCCAGCCCCTCCCCCTCCGCCCTAGCCCCTCCCCCTCCTCTGCGCTAATGCAGCCGTCAGCCGAAGCGAAGCCGCGTCTGCCCCGGCCATCCCTCACTCCGCCGCCGGCCGCACGCACGCGCTCAGATCGTTACGGGATTAAGATGTTGTGTCCACTTACGGGCGACTGGATGATGGAGCGCGCGCCCCTGATCCCGGCTGATTTATGAGGCCTCTCTCCGCCGCCGCCGCACAAACATCACACGGCTCATAATAAATGCATTCCCGATCAATTGCGCCCGCGGAACGATCAAGATAAATGTTAGTAAGGTTTTTTTCTTTTCTTTCTCTGGCTACGCTCGGCTCGGCTCGGCTCGCGTCCCGCTGCACTTCACGGCGTTTTAGTGACTGCTGCCGGGAAACTGAGAGTAAATAAATAAAAACCGAGATGATGCAAGAGCTCAGAAGAATGAGAGAAACAGAAGAGAGACGTGGACTGGGGTGACTTTCAAACACCAGACTCCAGAAAGTTACAGGCTGTTGCTCTGTGGCAGGTGCTTTATCGCTCTTAAAGCTGAGGTACCTAACTTTCAAAGCGCAAGAGTGGGTGGTGCAGTGGTTATGTGTTTTTCCCAATGGTTCCACTGGATACATGTAAGCTAACTCTAAAACCCAGTGCACTAATGCTAACCCTGACTCAATCAACTCTCCCTTATTCACTTACACCAGGGGTCTCCAACCTGTGGCTTGGGAGCTACCAGTAGCTTTCCAGCCCCTTGCTGGTAGCTCCCCAAAGGATTTAGAATTTAACACATGTGCTATATAAATAAACATTACTATGAATATAACGTTATACAGTTTTACAGTAAAGTCTTCTTGTCATTATTACATAGATTTGTATTAGGACTGCAGAAAGGAATAGCT